GAGGGCGTTAAGCCGGCTCTCCCTGCAAGCCTGAAGCGGCTCCGTGGGGCTGGAGGGGAAGAGTTAAATACCTGGCAGCCCCCTCGGCATCCCCCAGCACATTCCAGACAGAGGGGATCCATATGTGCCGGGCTCTGCCGATGCCTGGGGGGCTGCCGAGTGTGCTGCTGCTGCTGGGGAGGGTGTGTGTGTGTGTGTGTGTCTGTGCTCGGTGCAATGTCGGGGGGGGGCTTGGAGAGGTGCAGGGTGTGCACCCAGACCACACTGCAGGAGGTCCCCAACATCTATCTATCTCCAAGCAAGGGGACAGAGTCCTGGGGATAGCCCCAGCCGGCCCCCCCCAATCCCAACATTTCCTCCCCCCCCGCACCTCTCAGTGCTTCCAAATCTCCCCTCCCAAAGAAAAATAGTCTCTGTTGACTCAGGTGCCAGCGCCGAGCGAGGCGACGCCGGGGCTTGGCCGGAGTTTTATAGCCTGTCTCCCAGTGGAGCAGCTATTTATTTTATTTGTCCTTTTCTTTCAGCCTTTCACCCCAGGAAGGTTAAGGTGAGGATTCGGGGATGGCGCGGAGTCGGGGGGGGGGGTTGGGTGAGGGACTCAGGGAGATTTAGCCCTGTCCTCCAGCGCTGCCACCTCTCCCACCTCCTTCCTCCAGCTTCCAGCAACATCCCACCGACAGAAAGCCAAAAGGCAAATTTTGCAGGGGGGAAAAACAGGGTTTTGTCCCCGTTCCCTTTGTGGAGCTGGCTTTGGGGTACCCTCAGCCACCGGCAACTGCGGTGAGCCGGGGTGGCAGGGCTGGGGGTGTCCTTGGGGCGGGCGTCTGGCACATCCCTGCAACCAGGGCGGGACAGCTGATTTATGCTCCTTATTCCCATCGATGTTTTCCTCTCCTCTCCCTCCTGACAGCCCACACCTCAAATTCCTGGGATGCCCCCAGGCAGACCCTTATCGCTCTGGTATGCTGGCCAGCCCACATTCCTCCTTGGGCAAGGAGCAAGTTCCCTCCTACATCTCCCCAGCGAGTCCTGGCCCCTGTCCCTCCACCAGCCCTGGAAAAGGCAGATGTCAAGAGGGGAAACCCCATGGGACAAGGCGGGGAGAGCTTTGCCCCCCAGAAGATTCTTGTCCCAGGCTGCAGGGATGGTCACCCCCCCTTCCCTGGGCGCAGGGCATGGGTTTTGTTGGCACATTGCAAACTTTCACTGATTTCCCTGATTCTCTCCATTTGTTTCAGTTTCCCCAGAAGGTTCCCCTTTGCAGATGGCCACCACTCTGGGTGAACGTGTATCGGGACCTGTAAAGAGGAACTGGATGGGGCTCTGTCCTGGATGCTGGCCCACTGCCCACACAAGGGCTGGGGGCAAAGGGCTAAGGAGGCAGGCAGCCTCTGCGTGCCTGGCACCATGCGAGTGGCTGATCCAGCAGGGACTCCAAGCTCTGCTGACGCCCATGTCACCAATTTGGGGAAGCCTGTGGGTCCCTGTGGCTTGGCTGGGGGCAGGCAGGGTGGAAGATCTGAGTGGGAGGTGTGGAGCCCCTGCCAACACCTCCTTTCATACGTGTTTGCCAGGCTCCTGAGCTTCCCCAGGGCTTGGGGAGCTGGGAGCAAGGTGGGCTGTTGACCCTGAGGACATGCCTACAGGGTGGGACAAGGCTCCATGGGGGATAACCCAGCCTGGTTGTGGAAATGCATGCAGGTTTCCAATAGCTCTTTGAAAGGGCCTTGACATGACCCATCATCTTGGGCACCAGCAAGCCTGGGCTGGGTCTGCCCACCATGCTCAGGGAGAGCTCCTCGGCTCTTCTCACAAGCCCAGCCTGAATCCATCCTTCCCCAGACCCACAGGAGAGAAGACCACTCCATCCTGACGGTGGATGTCAAGCTCAGGCAGGGCTTGCCATGTTGTGGAGCTGGGCCAGCAACTCTAGCCCCAACCTTGTACCTTCTGGATCATGCTGCTGCCCACCACGGGGATGCATTCGCACCAGGGCTGCAGAGACAGTCCCTGCAGAGCAAAGGGACCCATCCAGGCCTGGCAGCACCCAAACCTTGCATGGGGACAGCAGCACCCAGCACTGTCCTGTGCAAGGGCACAGCAGAGACGGCATCCGCTCCGGCAAAAGAGGTGCAGAGGGACCAAAAGGGAAGCAGAGGCTCAGGAAGCTGATGCAGAACAAGGGCTGGAGCTGGGTCAAGCTGCCTCAGGCTTTCCTGCCTCGGGGCCAGATGGCCACTCTGGCTCTTTGCAGAAGCCCTGGCACCGGCCAGCCTGAGCCCAGATGCCATATGGCCGCGTTTGCCTAAGTCAGGGTTTCTTCACTCGGTGCTGCGTCAGGAAACGCAGCTCAACTCCTTCCCAAACTGGGCTGGGAGCACACGGTGCCCCCCATTGCAGGGGGTGCACGCTTGGCACAGCCTCCCCGCACTGGCAGCCTGTCTCCCTGCTCACTGGTGGCATCTGGGACCAGTTTTTGGGCAGCACTGCTTGGAGGTGGGTGGCAGAGCCCCAGGGGCTTGCTGGCGCTGCGGGCAGCTGGTGCTCCTGCCCTGCTGGCTCAGCACCCGACCCAGCTGAGTCAAGCCTGGCAGGGGCATGGAGCAGCTGGGGAGGGTACAGCAGGGTGCTGCACTGCAGAACGAGGTCCTGGAGGGCAGTTTCCCACACCCCCTGTCCCCTTATCACAAGGCTGAGCGTTGACCCTGAGCCATTGAACTTGAGTGCAGCGGTTACCCAGTGCCCAGATGGGCTCCTGCCACGGTTCCTTTGATTGAGATACAGGCACCTGCGGCGGAGGCTGGGTCTGGATCCTGTCCCAAAATGGCTAAAAATCACCTCAGCCCCTGCCTGAAGGTCATGCTACAATGCCAAGCTGGGATGATTTGCTCCTGGTTGCTCCCTGGGCAGGTTCCCCCAGGCCCCTCTGGTGCCTGCTCCTGAAAACCCAAGCAGATGGTGCCCCGGCTGCAGTTTAAATCCTGCAGCTTGGCCAGGTGGCCCTGGCAGCCTTTGCATCACCCCTTGTCTTGGCACGTGGTCACCCCTTGTCCTTGAGATGGGAACCCGCGTCAGGAGGGCTGGCAAAGTCCTCTCCTCACTTTGGGCGTGTGGGCTACAGTGAAAACCCACAAATGATCAGTGAGAATAAAGCTTCTGGGTGATGGGTTGCCCCAGGGAGGACTTGGGCAGATGTCAAGTTGGCTGCAGCAGCATCACCTGGTTGCAGGCACCTGCCAGGTGGGGCTCTCCCCGCTAACCCCAGAGACCCTCTGGGCATACTGGGTGGGAGGCTGGGTGCCCATAGGGCTGGGGTATCACCCTGCTCTGGCTCTGGCGCAGCACAGGGCCAGGGATGCCCCCAAGGAGCTCTGGAGGTGCCAGGAGAGCGATGCTGCTTGGGCTGCAGCAGTGCAAAGCAAACACAGCCTCCCGATGTCCCTCATAGCTTGGGGCACTGGGATGCTGCCAAAACCTCCTGTGGGGACCACTACAGCCCCTGCCCCAAACCAGCTCCGAATTAGTAAAAGGAAAGAGGTATCTGGTGATGTCAGCCACTTCCCAAAAGCAGCGGCGGGCACAAATCCCTGAACGGGGAAGTGATGCGGTTTGGGCTCCTCACCCCTCGCACGAGATAAATAGCTCTCCCCAAGCAGCGAGGGGCAGGCACGGTCCCCAGCGCCACGCTGACCCTGATACCCTCCCCTGCACCACCGGAGGCACAGGCACTCCCAGGTAATGCCGCTGCTCCCCACGGAGGTGCCGGGACAGGGACACCCCGGGGCTGAAACTGGCTCTGGGGGTTCACCACGCTGGGCTGGGACGAGGTGCCCACATGATGCTGTGTGGGGCTGGGGGTGGCACAGGCTGCTCATGGGCACCTTGCCACGGGGTGGATGGCTGTGGAGGTGAGAGCATCTTTGTGGGGTTGAGCCTGGTCTGTCTTCTGCTGGTGCCAGGAGAGTTGCCCAGACATCCCCAGGCCCCTGGTCCAGGCTCGGGGTTGGGTTTGGAGCCAGGGTTGCACCTGACCTGCATCCCTTGGTGCAGGTCCCTGCGTGACAGACTGGCAAAGCCCCTGTGGTGGCAGCGAGAGGGTGGTGTGGGACTGCTCAGCCTCCCAACCCATGCAGAGGGTGCTCTCCCAGCCTCTGGGACTGGGGCAGGAGCGGTGCCAGGGTGGGTGCGGAGCAGGCAGCAGCAGAGCAGGGTTGGGATATGGGGCCACCCCCTTCCCTCGCTGGTTTTTGCAGGCAGAGGGATGGGACAGGCAGTGGGGAGGTGGTCTCCTTGCCCCCGAGGAGCCGTGGGGGTGTGGGAGCATTGGGGGATAAGGGCAGGGAATTCCCTTCCACCCCTCATCCCAGGGGTACACTCCCCAACTGCCCCGTGGTCCCCATCTACGCCACTTTCTCCACATTGAGACATGGTGGAGGCTGAAGGGACCAACACCAGAAGTTTCCCCTCGTTGTGCTCTTGCCCCAGTTGACATTTTTTAATGGCAATAAGTCATTTTTGCTAAAGCCTGAAGAAGTGGGGTGTCTCCCTTGCACTTGCTGGCACGCACAGAAGCATTTGGGGGGGGTTTGCTGGCTGTCCCTCAGGTGGGCTGGTGGCAGCTCAGGCTGAGATTGACTGTGGGTGCAGAGGAGACTTGGTAATCAGGACATAATTGCCTTTCCCCCCTCCTTGTTTTCCAGTTCATGACATCTAAGCATTCTTGCCTAGTCAGTATCAGTTGATAACGCACAACCTGTGCTGCTCGGATGCCTGCAGCCTGCCTGGCCCAGGCTGCCCATGTGCTGTGCACGTGCCAATTTTTGGGTTGAGAAATCTTTACGAATGTTTTAATTTTGTTGAGCTAACAAGCACCGGGACCCCACCTCAGGCTTGCCGTGCTCCCCAGCAGCAGCACGGGACGGGTGGGTGGAGGGGAGCTGGGGTCCCCCATCCCATGCTGAGGGTCCACGCTGCCCAGAAACCGAAACTCAGAGAAGTGGGGCAGAAGAAACGAAACTCGGTGTCCGTGTGAGCAGGGGAGGGGGGCTGGGGGATGGGTGGGAGTGGACCCCGTTGCTGAGCCAGTGCTTCCTTCCTCCTTTGCCCTAAGCCCAGTGTCTCCTGCCGGTCCCATGGCTATTTCTGGCCCCCACGTGGTCCCCGGCTCCCTCCAGAACCCTGAGCAGCCCTCCAGCCCCACAGTTCGGGGGGGGCTGGGGTGGTGGGACCCCCTCTGAGGGTGCTGGGAGGGCCATTTCCTTTGCTCTTGGTGCTTCGGTTTGGTTAGGAAAAATCCTGGGCAGAACGAAAGCTCTCAGGAGTGCTTTGGAGTCTAAAATACCTCCCTAAACCAAATTAGCAGCGAGCAAATTTAAAGCATATGTTGGAAAAGAAGGTGTTAGCAAAGCAGCAGATCATTGTTTGAAGAGGAAAAAGGTTGGCTCAGGGAGTAAAGAGCTTGCCTTGTTCAATATGGAAACATTGCTAAGTTGTTTGATAAAGATCTATAATGAAATAAATCAACTAATTGCTTTTCACGATGAAAAAAAAATCGGGGAAAAATATCTGGTTTATCATAAAATATTTTTTTTTAATTTAAAATTAAGTTCCTCAGTTTGCTTAGGTCTAGAGCTGCAAAAACCCACTAAACCCACTAAAAATTGATAAACCCCTTGTTGAAACCATCCCACGTGAAGGTACAACACCAAAAGGCAGAGGCAGACCCCGGAGTAGGCACTGGCTGTGCCAAGCTCAGGGCTGCGGCCGCTCTCCTCCTCGCCGTGGCTGGTCTCATTGAAATCAAAACTGTCAAGTCTAAAAATCCACGTCCTTTGGTCCCACTGCCAGGTCCTCAGCCCTCTGCAGTCCCCTGGTTTGGTTGCTCCCACAGAGCACCGGCACCTTTGTGTCTCTGGCGTTGCGGCAGCCAGGATGCTGTGTGCCCAGCAGAGCTGCGATATCAGGGCAGCTTTAACATGTGCCCATCCGTGTCCCTCAGTCCTCTGTCCTCACATCTGTACATCCCCTGCACACGTTGAGACCTTCTGGGGCTTGGCTGGTGGCCGTGCCCTTGTCACTGGGATTTCTGCCTTTATGGGCATTTCCCTGAGAGCGCTTCTTTAGGAGTATCTCTCCTCTTATTTTCAGATATCCACTTGCTTTCCTTTGCCCTCATTTTAATTTTCAACTTAGATTCCCACAACCAGCATTTGCACAACCCCATCCCGCGCCAACACAGGCGTTTGCCCCGTTGGTATCACGTTGCTCTTCATTTGTTCCCCGCGTCGCACAGAGGCACGTGATTAAGCCTCGTAAAACTTGTCACCTCACCACAAAGCCCGGGTTAGCTCCTCAAACTAGCAAAATCGGGGCTTCCCCTCACCCCCCACCTCCCTCTCACCCCATCCCCTGGCCCCGCTGGGCTGCTCCTGCATCCGGAATGGCGCTGGTGTTGCTGCTGGTGAGATTTATCCGGCATCGGTCAATAACCTGTTGACACACCACGTGTTTCACCCTTTCTTGTTGCCAGGGTCCCTTCTGCCGAACGCCAGCTTCAAAGACCAGCCACCTCCCACCCTCGTGGCCCCCAGGGACCCCCAGCCGTGCCTGGGCTGCTACCATGCACCTGCCCTGGTGGCTTCTCCTCCTGGCCAGCCTCGTCCCGTCAGGTATGGTGCCACCGAGAGACCCTCTGCCTCCTGCCCTTCTGGCATGGTCTGGTCCTCTGCAGGGGCTGGTTGCCCTCATTTATACCAGGAGGGGTGGGAGCAGGAGCGCTGGTGCCCTGGCCCTGCCGGGAGCCCCATGCACAATACCCGAGGGATGGGCAGACAGGCTCTGGGGACCCCAAGGCTGGTCCTGGCTGTCCCACAGGACATGGCATGGCAGATGCTCAGGGGAGATTTGCCATCATATGCCTCATCGTGCCATGCCCCCACATGACACTCTGCCCACATCCTCTCCTCTCCATGGGCCAGGCATGTGGTACCCATGGGAAGGGATGGGGTGGGCTCTGGGATGGGGTGGGCATGGGGTGGCAGGGACTTCAGCCAGGGCATGAGAGAAGGGGCAAGGAGCCAGAGAGAGGAGCAAGGAATCAGGCTTATGGAGAGCCAGAAGGGCAAATTGTCTTTTTTTACTAGTTTTTTAGGCCTTTGCTTTTCAAACCCAGCTGTTGCCTTTCACTGCCTGAAAGCACCACCAGCTTTTCCTCGTCATGTCCTCCTTCTCCGCCCCAAAATTTTCCTCTAGGCTGTTTTGTGTGTCCCCCCTGCCCCATTCTCCTCTCTCACTTCTGGGCGTGAGCCTCTCTCTGCCCATCACAACCCCCCGCCTGTTGAGGCAGCTCAGGAGATGTGACCTGGCTCTGGGGGTGTCCCAGGAGGGGAGCAGGGGGCTGCAGCCCAAGGAAGACCCTGGCACGGCTCACCCCCTGACTCCCCCCTTCCCACTGCCTCCCTCCAACACAGCCCTCGGCTCGTGGGGGGTCACCTACCCCGAGTCCCTGTGGGGTGTCAGGGGCTCCTGCGTGCTGGTTCCCTGCACCCTGAGCTACCCTGACAACGTGGCGGCCAACGACGGCATCGTGGCCATCTGGTACAAGGATTACGACAACCAGAAGACGCTGGTGTACCACTCGGCGGCCCAGGAGGTGGATGCTCACTTCAGGGGCCGTGCCCAGCTCCTGGGGGACCCCGCTGCCCGCAACTGCACCCTGCTGCTGCGGGGGGTGACGCCAGAGGACAGCGGGCCCTACAGGTTCCGCTTTGAGATCGTCAATGGCGACCGGTGGTCGGCGGCGCGGGATGTGATGCTGAGGGTTTCAGGTGGGTACGGTGGTGAGACCCCTCCCAGCCCCCTGCCAGCTCACCCCACACTGGCATCCCACCCTCTGCTCTCCATCCCCAGACACCCTGGAGCGCCCGAGCACTGCTGCCAGCGAGGAGCAAACCGAGGGGCAAGCGTCCACCTTGCAGTGCTCCACACCCTACATCTGCCCACCAGGCGACGTCGCCCTGCGCTGGGAGGGTTACAACCCCCAGGTCTCCACAGTGTCCGGCCGGGTCCAGCTGGACACGAGCGGGGTTGGCCACTACCTGACCCTCACCACCTCTTTCACCTGGAAGGACCACTCCAAGAAGCTGCTCTGTGAAGTTTCTTATGGCTCCAGGAAGGCAACCGGGGAGGTTGTCCTGCGGGTGAGACGTACGTGGGACAGCTCTGCTCAGGGGCTGGCTTAGTTGGGTAGAGAGACAGGGTTACTTTTGCCATAGCCATGTCACCCAGGTCCAGGTCCTCCTGCCACTCATTGTGCCCCCTCCTCTCTCTCCCTCTTGATGTCCTTTGCAAAAAGCCAGAGCAGAGTTTCTTCTTGCTTCTCCCTCTCTCTCTTGCTCCCCCTTGGCTCTCCACGGCCAGGGCCAGAGTTAGTCCCATGAATGCTGCTGAAGTGCCAGATACAGCTCCATGGCACGTGCTGGCACCCACCACTGCGCCCACCCCTCCCTGCTGCCAGTGTCACCGCTTTGTCCCCTTTCCCAGCTCTCCTCTAAGAGAAGATGCCATCCCTGCGCCTGTCCTTGGGGGAGACCTTTGCTCCTTTCTCCACACCAAACACTCATGAATAAACAGCAGGATGGGCTACGGCAGCATCCTGTGGGTCCTGCCCAGCCTCACCGCTGCCCACCGTGTCTCTCTGTCCTCCCCACAGACGCCCCTAAGGACACCCAAGTGTCGGTCAACCCCTCCATGCAGAACATCCGCAAGGGCGACACGGTCTCCCTCACCTGCGAGGTGAGCAGCAGCTACCCCCCCATCTCTGCCTACCACTGGTACAAGGACGGGGTGGCCGTGGGCAGCGAGCAGATCCTGACCCTCCGGGACATTCGCCGGGAGGACTATGGGCAGTACCACTGCAAAGCCAAGAACGCCATCGGGGCTGGTGTGTCACCCACTGTGACACTCTACGTCTTCTGTAAGTACCAGGGGAGCTTGCCTGAGGCTGGGACATCAGGGCCATGGGAGTGGGATGGAATTTACCCACTGAGTCTGGACTGGGATGGGTAGGGACTGGCACTCAGGTGTTCAGTACTAGCTGGAGGTCCAGGAGCTGGGGAGTCCCACGGTGGTGGACTGTGATGCCTCTCTCATGCCATGCCTGCATCCTTTCTCCTCACATCACAGGGCTGTGGTGAGCCCCAAAGACAGGGTGGGGAGGGATTTCCAGCCAAGCCTGGCAGTGAGGCTTCACTGCCTCCACTGGGAAGGAAATTGCCAGAGCTCCCAGGGATTTGGAGCCAGGGTGGTCTGTGGGGAAGGAGAGCCAGGGTTCCCCGTCAGATCCTCCAGTAGAGACAAGCCCCAGTCCGCTGCATCACCCAGGAGCCTGTCTGTGCTGGAGCCCCACAGGGAGCATCTCCCCCTGGCCTGGAGCTTGTCTGCTCCCCCAGAGCCCCCCGTGCAGATCGTAAGAGACAAAGGACGCTGCTGCAGCCACCATGAGGTTTGCCTCTGGGGCTTCGCATTAAAGCCAGAACATGAACTCCAGCTGGCAAGGTGTTGGCGGCAGGGAGCAAACCCAAACATCTCCTGCCACCATCACCATCCCTGGGGGGCAAAGGGGAGTCCTGTCTGTCCCCAGACTCTGTCCTGTGCCACAGGAGCTGGGAGTCAGTGGGAGACATCTGCTCTCCTGCCTCCGAGGCCATCCTGAATACGCTCCTGTCTCCATCAGCTGCAGAGATCTCAGTGAGCCCTGCGGCCGAGGTGCAGGAGGGGACGGCTGCCACCTTGACGTGCGACGTCCCTGGCAGGGAGGGCCAGGACCTCAACTACACCTGGTACAAGAACAGTGCCTGGCTCAAGGAGGGCACGGCGCACACCCTGCTTTTCCACCGCGTAGCAGCCAGCGACGCCGGCTATTACTCCTGCAAGGTGACGAACAACCGGGGCAGCGACACGTCCCAGGCCATCAGCCTGAGCGTGACATGTGAGTGCCCACGGCTCCTGCCAGGGGATGGGGGTGTGTGTGTCCCCACCAGATGAGGTTGTCTTTGTGCCAGGGGCTGTGCAAACCCCCCTGAGTCAAAACAAAATCTCTGCCCCAAAATGCCTTGAGTTCAGTTGAAAGGGGGAGTTCAGCCCTTCTGGGTAGAAGTTGCTATAAATGCAACAATTTCTGGTGATGAGCTGCATCTGGAGGTACCGTTAAGTGGTATTTGCTGCAGCAGGGGCCCGTCTGTTCATTGCAGCATCTCCCACTCCCCCGCTAATCTGTTTACACACCAAGAACTGCAGGGAGGTTACTAACCGAGAAGCCAGCTATGATAATAACAGCTCAGGAGCTTTTGCAAGTCAGGGGAAAAATAAAATAGCCCTGGGTTTGGCTTTGACATTTCTGTGAGTAAATATAACCCGCCTACGCAAAGGGGAAAGCCGCTCGGAGGAGCAGCTGTAGGGGCCAGGGGGTGGACGTGCCCCACATTCATGTGGCGGACACATTGCTGGTACCTCCCGACCTCTAGCATCCTCTCCCCTCCCACAGACCCCCCCAGGAACCCCACCATCACCCTCTTCCAGGAGACGCAGGGCGGCAGGCTGGCCATCATCCGCTGCACCGTGGACAGCCACCCCCCAGCCACGGTGGCCCTCTACCGTGATGGCACCTTGGTGGCAGCCAGCGGGTGGCAGGCGGCCCCCCGCCAGCGGCTGGGTGTCACCGCGTCCCGCAACGCCCTGCGGCTGGAGATCCGTGACGTGGGGCCGCAGGACAGCGGGTCGTACTGCTGCACGGCCAGCAACGCCCATGGCAACACCAGCGCCACCAAGGCCTTCATCGCCCGCGGTGAGTCCTGGGCTCCTAGGGGTCGATGAACGCCCCCCCCCAGGGCTGTTGGGGCTGTTTCTGCAGGGCTGGGAGGGGTGTGGGGGGGTTGCACAGCCCTGAGAGCCACTGGGACCCGTGTGGCATCAGGAGACACCAGCATCTTGGGGACTGTGTGGTGGTGGTGTCATCCCTGCAGCCCTTCCCCACCTTGGGGAGGTCAAAGCCTCTTGCAGAGCTGGAGGAGCTCTGGAGTATTGTTTTTCATAACACTGCAAAATCTCTAGCAAAGTTTGTCCCAGCTGTTTCTTCCCTGTCCCTGCAAGCCCCTGGCAGTGCATGGAATCTGGGCACACAGCAGGGACCGGCTCCTCCTGCTCCATCCCCTAACCCTCTGCACCCTCTGCATCCTCAGCCTTGATGGTTTGGGGTGAAAGAGGCAGCGGCCAGGGAAAAGGAGGAGAGAAAACTCCCCAAAACTATGTCCTAGAGGATCCTCGCTTATGATGTCAAAAGAAACAAAAGTGGACCACAGGGTCCCATTCCAGAGAAAATAAACGTGAGTTTGGGTGCCACAGTGGTTAGCTGGGTCCATTTCAAGTTGGCCAAGATGCCTCCAGCACAGCCCACCACCCACCTGCAGGCAGAGGGGACCAAGCCTATGCCAGGAGCAGTTCACTGGGCTGAACACAGGCGCTTGGAGAGAGGAGGTGAAGGCTCAGAAAAGTTTGTCTCTGCTGGTGGCAGAGAGCTGGGCTGAACAGCTTGGGTGGAGACATCCCAGCTGACATCCAGTGTCCCCAGGGAAGGTCATCCGCCAAAGACACAACCAACAACACCATAAGCTCCTGTGAGGGAGGGGGCTGCTCAGGTCTTGCCTTAGAGGGAAGCCGAGTGTGGGGATTGTGCTGGATGGAGCCAGGGGAAGGACGAAGGTTTGCAGCAGAGTTTTTCCTTCCCTCCCTGACATCCCTCCCTTCCATCCTCCAGCTACAGAGATCCTGATCCAGCCCTCAGCGGAGGTGCGGGAGGGGGCAGCCGTCACCCTGACCTGCCTGGGGGCTCAGGGGGCGGCGGAGGAGACCCTCTACACCTGGTACAGGAACGGCAAGCGGCTGCGGGAGAGCTCGGCCCCGACACTGACCTTCCCCTCCATCCGTGGTGAGGACGCAGGTGCTTTCCAGTGCAGGGTCCATAGCAGCAACGGCAGTGACACGTCGGCCACCGTCCCCCTCCGTGTGCTCTGTAAGTGCTGCCGGGGGGTCTCTGCCTCGTAACAGCCAGGGGGGTCCTTGGTCTGGGATGGGTGGCCCTGCTGGGAAGCCCCTCTGCTGCTTCCACCCCGAGATTTCACCCGTTACTGCCAAACACAGCCAAGGAGCTCGTGGGCAGAAATGTGGAGAGGGCGGAAAATTCCTTTTTTGCAGGTAAGTCTGTGAATTTGGGTAGGAGAAATTAGGTGAATCCCAAAATTCACAGGGATCAAAGAGTTTTAAAATGTCCCGTGAGATTAAATTCGACTCCTCAGAACACTAAATGGCCCCTGTGGAAAAATACATTCTGGTAGGATTTTGCCTTCCAAATATTTTCTGTGCTGTAAAATAAAAATCTTCCGTGATACCAAACCAGGAAAAATGCCAATAGGAATTTTCAGTCAAAATGACATTTTTCCGTGGTTGTGGTAGGAAACGTGCATCACAACCAGACCCCAGATGCCTGAACCACTGGGACCTCTGCAGACCTGCTCCAGGGCTTGGGGTAGGGCTGGGCACCTGCACTCAGACCCTGAGCTCAAGCCAGGTGACAACAGAGGTGCCATCACAGGTGCCTGGGTCATGCAGGTCCCTTGCAGAGAGCCAACTGATGTGAGACCCTGGGATCTGGCAGCTGGAGGGTTGTGGGATGTCCAGGTGGCACTGGAAAGCAACAAACCCTAAGGTTCTTGGGGTTCTCCCAACCTCAGGAATCCATAGGATTCTCACCAGTGGTGTTCTAACCCTGCAGTCTCACCGCGGCAACCAGTGATGAGCTCTTTCCTGGAGACCCAGAGTGGGCACCTGGGCATCATCCAGTGCACTGTTGAGAGTGACCCAGAGGCCAACCTGACCCTATGGAGAGGAGAAGAAGTGATAGCCTGCACATGGGGCTGCCCCACAGCTCCCAACCCCAGGGTTCAAGCCACCTTGTCCTACAACAGCCTGAAGGTGGAGATCCGAGATGTGGTGCTGGAGGATGAGGAGACCTACGTCTGCTGGGCTGTGAACCTGCAGGGCAACGCCAGCATGGCCATGGACTTCAGGGCTGAGAGTGAGTGCGGTGAAGGGTTGGTGGGTACAGGAGAGCCAGATGCCACACATATCCACAATATCTGGGAAAATCCTGGAAGAGGGGAGGCTGGGAAGGGAATGCTAGGAAAGGAGAAAGCTCAGGAGATCAAGGGTGGTGGTGGCAGAAGGACAGAACAAGCAGAACCCATGAAATCCAGGGCAGCAAACAGTGTCTGTCTCAAAAGAGCTGCTGTGCAAAAGTCTCTTGGTGCTTGCATGAGTGAGGTTAAAGTGGGGGCTGCTACAGGAGGGGGGTACCGGACCCTCCAGTCCCTCTTGGTGGGTTTGAAGGGATCCCCCATGGCCAGAATAAGGGCTTCAGCTCCTGGTGAGGATTCACTGCTGACCCCTGCCCATGCAGGACCAGGGATGCCAAGCAAAACACTGCTGAGGGGGTTCCCATGGGCACCCTCCTACCAACATGCCATCCCTTGGCTGGTGGAGCCCTGGGTGGCTGGTGATGGCCATCCTGGCTGAGCTCATGCTGGAGCCTGTTTACCTTCTGCCTCTGCCCCTGCCCATAGCTGCCAGCGTCGCAGTGGCTCCATCCTCCCACGTGCTGGAAGGCCACGCCGCCAACCTGACCTGCCGGCTGAGCAGCGACTCCCCGGCTCTGCCCAACTTCACCTGGTACCACAACGGGCAGTGGCTCGCCGAGGGCCCGGACGCCTCCCTGGTGTTTCGGCAGGTGGCCAGCACGGACGCAGGGCTCTACCACTGCAGAGCCACCACCGACGGCAGCAGCCGGAGCTCCCCCGCCGTCTCCCTGGACGTGCTGTGTACGTATGGGCTGCTGGGGGGCACGCAGCTGGTTGTCCCCTCAGGGTTTGCAGCTTGTGCCCGTGCAAGCGTGCCCAGCCCTGCTCACGCCTGCAGCTGTGCCCGGGGTCTGGGCAGAGCTGATGTGGGCGCACGTGTGGGTCTTTGAGTACATATATATGTCCTGGGGCTTCCTCCTGTGGGTGCCTGTCCTTCTGTGCCACTGCCTGCAGCGTCTTTACTTTCCTGTTGAGCAAGCACATGCTTAATGGGTGCATGGGCATGTGTGTGTGACCCTGCAGGTGTAAAGCATCTGTATGTTTGAGGGCCACTGTGTGGTATAGCACACCCTGGAAAGCCTATAAGAGTGGCTGCTGTGGGTGGGGACACTGTAGTCACCCTGGGGATGGCATGGTCTCCCCAAGTGTGGCAGAGATCTTCCCTTTCCCCTTCCCCTTCCCTTTCCCGTTCCCCTTCCCCTTTCACCTTCTCTTTCCCTTTCCCTTTCCCCTTTCACCTTCACTTCCCCTTTCACCTTCCCTTTCCCTTTCCCCTTCCCTTCCCAAGGTGATGCAGCTTTTCCCTCTCTTTCTGGGAGGCTGGGAGGTGGTTGCAGTTTTCCAGGAGATCTCATGCTGGGGAGCAGTAGCTGCTCCACTGATGTTCTCTGCCCTGTGCAGACCCCCCACGGGATCCCCGCCTGACGGCGTTCCTGGAGACAGAGAGAGGCCGCCTGGCCATCTTCCAGTGCTCGGTGGCAAGCAACCCTCCCGCCCGGCTGGCCCTGTACCGGGGTGAGGAGCTGGTGGCCACCAGCGATGTGGGGAGCAGCCCCAGCCCGCGGGTCAGTGCCTCGGCCGCCCCCAACTCCCTCCGTGTGGAGATGCGGGAGGTGACACCGGCGGACGAGGGCAGCTACCGCTGCACCGCCACCAATGCGCACGGCACCGCGTCCCACCGCCTGTACTTCCGCCTGCAGAGTGAGTTACCCCGTGCCAACCGGCTCCTGGACACGCCATGCTCGGGTCCCACCGGCGGGGTGGGCGACACTGGGGGCAGGGACCATCGGGTTGGGGGCCAGGAGGGAGCTGACGGCAAACGTCACCTTTTCTGCGTGATTTCTGGGTGCGTGGCACTGTCTGACAGGAGGAGGGCACACCCCGGTGCTGTCCCAGGGTACAGGGAAATGTCACCGAGCACCGCAGGCTGCGGCCGGGTGACCCAAAGTGACAGAGCTGCGGTGGCCGGGTGTGATCCTGCCCCCGGGACACAGCAGGGACATGGCTTTGTGCTAAACCATGTCAGACAGAGGCCAGCGCAGGGCAGTGGCTGGCACTGGCTGTTTTGTGATGTGGTTTGTCCAGTCCCTCCTCCACTGCCTCCCCAGCAGCTCGCCAGGGGGTGGGAAGGGGTGTCCCCATCCCTGCTGGGGGGTCCCTGCACCGGGGCTTAAGTGTAATGAGCTGAGACCTGACTGTGTGCCCCGGGGGGCTTTCTGGCTGCAGGTGGGCATCAGTGCCCAACCAGCCCCCAGACCCCCTGGCCTCTGCAGCCAGACCCTGCAGCTTGGCAGCACCTGAGTTACCCAGGGGGGTGATTTAGCAGGAATCCTGGACTGAATTAATTTTTCGGGTTGGGATCTGGCCCTCAGACTGATAGATCTAACTGTGTCTCCATGGAGGTGTCCACATGGGAGCCGGTGTCTGTGCTCCCACCCAGTGCTGCTGGATCCCACCCAGGCTCCCGCTGTGGCTCCGGAGGTGGTAGCTCACATCACCCCCCTGCACCAGGCACCTGCGTTCAAACAGCCTCAGCCCTGGACACCACAAGTGGTGGAGCTGGAGGGGAGCCAGCGAACAGGGAACAACATGTTTTCTGAAAAATAAATGTCTAGTGCCAGCCCCAGGGGTTTTGAGGGTCCACGACCTCCCCAGTCAGAACAAGACCTGTGATGCACGCTGTGGAAGTGATGAGGGTTTTGTTTCTGTCCTGTGCTGTGTCGTGGCTGCTCAGGGACTGGCAGTGCTGAGCTCTGCTGTGATGCCCTCTGAGCTGGTGGCATCCTCTCTCCATGCTCCAGCTGCCCGAGTCCTCATCTCACCATCCACGGAAGTCCAGGAAGGAGACGATGTCTCCCTGACGTGCCTAGTGGTGGGAGAGCCGCAGGATGACACCGTCTACTCCTGGTACAAGAACAGTGAATGGCTCCAGGATGGCCCTGACAACTTCCTCCCCCTGCCCCACATCGCCAGTTCTGCTGCCGGCTCCTACCACTGCCGAGCCCGCAGCCCCTCGGGGACCAGTGTCTCCCTGGCCGTTGCTCTGCGCATCTCCTGTGAGTAGGACTCCTGGTACAAGAACAGTGAATGGCTCCAGGATGGCCCTGACAACTTCCTCCCCCTGCCCCACATCGCCAGTTCTGCTGCCGGCTCCTACCACTGCCGAGCCCGCAGCCCCTCGGGGACCAGTGTCTCCCTGGCCGTTGCTCTGCGCATCGCCTGTGAGTAGGACCTTCCTGGCAATCGAGGCAAAGAGGGGGGACTGGGGTGCCGGGGGTGGGATGGTGCTGGGGGTGGGATGCTGAGCAAGGCCATTCGGCCATGCAGGGCTATGGTTGGCACGTGGTAGGTGCCTGGCACAGCCCTGGCTGCTGGTACTGTCCCCAAATGCTGCATGTCCCATGCACAGGACTTGAACTAGAGCTCTACACACTTCGTCATAAAACATCCTCCGCCCTTAGAAAATACCAAAGTGTTGAAAGTGGAAAGTTTATAGGAGCATATCTCATCGATAAACTCCTAGTCTGAGTAAATTCCACCCCGGTTGGTCACGTCCCTTTTCAAGCAGAACTTTCCAATGAGAAGCGGAGGGGCCGCTGCACATCTTAGCTGGTTTATGTGTGCTGCATAAAAAGGGGAAAAAAAAGGCAATGGCAAATATTTTGGTTCTGTTAAAACAACATTTTTCAATCGACCTGAAATTACCCAAATTTTTCAAGACTTCAATTAGGAGAAAAGTTATCTGTCTGTGACGGAGAGGAAAATTCTGGAAGGATAAAGCGTGGCTTATGCTTTTGCTGCAAGTGTGGGCTGCTGCTGCCCTGGAGCTGGCTGAGAGGTGCCAGGAGCCACCACAAACATCTCGGGTGTCTGAGGAACCTGGGGACGGCAATGCCACCCAGCACCTGGGGCAGACATAAGACCTCCCAGGCCAGAGCTGGGGCCAGGCAGCCTGGTCTCGGGAGGCTCTGGGTGCAGACTCAGGGTTTGCTCATCCTCTGTGTAACATCTGACCTGGGCAGATCCTCCACGGGCTCCGGTGCTGACCTCCTTCCTGGAGACCCCCGAGGGGCAGCGGGGTGTCCTGCAGTGCATGGTGGACAGCAACCCACGGGCAGAGCTGGCTCTCTTCAAGGACCGGGTGTTGGTGGCCTCCACGGCGCTGCCCCAGCCCACTGCCCCACCACGGCTCAGCGTCACCTTGGCCGTCAACGCGCTGCGGGTCAGCATCCACCCCGTGCTGCTGGAGGACGAGGGGGAGTACGTGTGCTCTGCCAGCAATGCCCACGGGAACAGCAGCACCACGGCGAACTTCACGGCTGGCAGTGAGTGGGGAATTCCTGTGGGGAAGGGAGGGGAGAGAAGCTGGAGTAGGATGTACAGCACAGAAGCAGAGAAGAAACGGAGGAAGATGCATGTTTGTGGGGACGGAGGGCTATGCCAGAGGTGTTCCCAGAGAGCTGCAGGAATCACCCCCACACATGGTGAAGGAACTGCAGCTCCTCTCGGAGGTGATGCAAACGGCTGGCTTTGCCACATTCATCCATGGGACTGTCCTGGCTGTGCTCGCAGAGTGGGCATCACCCTGGGCTGTCCTACAGCAGCCACAGGGGCAGGGAGGGGTTTTCAGGGAGGGGGATGTGGTATCACATCTTGTCTGGAATCACTTCTTGTCTGGAATGATGGGAAAAGAGGCACAAGTTGAAGTCCCGGAAGGGACCAGCTCTCCCACCCAATGTCCCACCGGCCTCCTGCCCAGGTGACCCTCCATCCCCTCCTGCCCAACCTCACTCCCCTCAAACATCACCACAGCCTTCCCTTTCCACCGCAGCTGCCAGGGTCTGGATCTCCCCCTCCCCAGACGTCCGGGAAGGTGACGCCGTCAACCTGACCTGTGCGGTCGAGAGCGGCAGCGGGGAGGTGCTGAGCTACACCTGGTACAAGAACAAGGTCTGGTTCAGCAGCAGCTCAGCCCCAGCCCTCACCTTCCCCAGCGTCGCTGCCACTGACGCCGCCTCCTACCACTGCGTGGTGCAGACCCCGGCACGGACCCGCAGCTCTGCCCCCACCACCCTCAACGTCCTCTGTGAGTCCCTGCGGGCAGGGGGCTTCACGCCATAGGGGGGAGGTCCCTGGCACCCCCCGGGCAGGGACCTGGCCACGCTGCAGGGAGGTCCCTGGTGGTGTCACTTGTACCTTGGCTGGTCCCCTTGACTGGGAACCCTCCTGGGGTGATTACGGGTAACAGGGCCCACCTTGGGTTTGGGGAGCTCAGTAAAAATTAGCCTTTGTCCCAGGTGATAACTAAGCCAAGCTTTATACCCCAGTCCTGTGTCGGACCCCCCGGCAAGCAGACCTGGCCAAACAGCCCCAGTTCCTCTGCAGAAGACTTCAGTGAAGCTTCTCCAGGCGCCCCAAGTTTGTCCTTATGCTTTGCACCAAACCGAAACAGAAAAATCTTTGGCTTTCAGGAAACGTTGTGGGATTTTATTTTTTCTTTCCTGATTTGGAAAATGAAAACCAGACTTTGTTTAAAAAAAGACACACGAAAAAAAAAGTAGTTGCAAGTCAGAATGTAAATTTTTTTTTTTCCCTTTTTATTAGAAAAAGACAGCTTTAACTTATAAATCTGCTGTGAGGAGCGAGTGTTGAGGAACACTCCTGGAAACTTCCTCCAGAGAGCCTCAGACCCCAGCAACAAATCTGTTCCTTTTCTCCCTCCTTCTCATTTGGGATGGGGAACGCTGGATAGGTGTTGCTAAAAATAGCTTGGCATTATGGGCACGAGCTGTACCCCCAGTCGTGCTGCTTTTGGTCAAGCCTCGCTGTTGGGGTTTTCCACACACCGATGGGCAAAGGGTACTTTTTATTGAGGCTGGGGAGGGAGTAGAGCTCCCAGCTGGGATGGGCCACGTGATGAGCCATGCCCCCACACCTGGCTGGTGTGGCTGGAGCTGCAGGATAGAAATGAGCTCAGCAAAGGACCCTGAGCCCTGTTTTGAGTGTCCGCTTGGTTCAAGGGGATGGTGGATGCTGAGGGAAGAGACAGTGCCTGGCTGAGCAGGTCCTGTGTTGCAGGCAGCGGAGCGTCACCGTCCCTGCTCACAGCACAGATGAGACTGTAAGAGCAGCCATCCCAACCTGAGCATCGCAGGCTGGGGATGCTCTGACTCGCCAAGGTGCTGCTGATCCTCCAGTCTACCTCTTCCCCCCTCCCCTGCCTTTCCTTCCCACAGACCCCCCCAGGAACCTGCAGATGAAGGCCTTCGTGGAGAGCGGCGAGGGGATGGCGGTCATCCTCCTCTGCACTGTGGAGAGCAACCCCCTGTCGCAGATCACCCTGCTCAAGGAGGGGCAGCCAGTGGCCTCCAGCCCCACTGCGGGAGGTGACCACCCCAGGCAGAGCAGCCGCATCTCCCCTGCTCCCAACGCGCTGAGGCTGGAGCTCCGGGAGGCCTCCGAGGAGGATGAGGGGGAGTACGAGTGCCGGGCACGCAACCTCCTTGGCAGCACCCAGGCGTCCCTGCCCCTCCGTGTGCAGGGTGAGTCCAGCTTTGCTGCGGGGTGGGGGGGATGAGGGGCTTCTGGGTGGGCAGGTTGGTGTGGGCATCAAGGGGTACGGCCCAAAGAAGTGTGGTCTGGAGGCAGAGTGCCAGGGGGGTCAGGAATGGTGTGGGGCTGGTGGAAGGGCAGGGAGATGCTGCTGCCCGCTTGGGGGGGAGGATGCCCACCCCACACACCCACCCCACTGAAGGGGGACGGGGCTTTTAGAGCCGGGAAAAGCTTTTCCCAGCCTCAACCGAGGAGGGCAAACCTTGTACCAGCGAGGACCAGCTCTGCTTCCCTCTCCCCAGCCGTCCGGGTGGTGGTGCGACCCTCTGCCGAGGTGCCCGAGGGGACCGAGGTGAGGCTGACCTGCCGGGACGCGGGTGCCCGCCCGGGCACCGTCTACACCTGGTACAAGAACGGTCGGTGGCTGGCGGAGGGGCTGGGCGCCTCTCTCCTCCTCCCCGCCGCCCGCCGCACGGATGCGGGAGCC